CACAGACAGAGATGCCACAAGACTAAATTGAAAACAGGTTGAAAAAAAGCGACAGGGAGAGAAAACCACAATCAGAAGAAAGTGACTGGTAACATTGCAGGGTTGGTTTCACCCAGGCTAGTAAAGAAGATGTCAAGACAGAGACATTGGTGCCTTCCTACTTTCCCTTTTCTGCTCTTTCTAGGAATCTCAAAGGTGAATCACAGCAGGGAGGTCTCCTCTCATCTTCATTTCCACTTTGGTTTGCACTGAGTTGTGTCTGTGCCACTCAGCACAGGGACATGGGCTGAAGGTGTGGGAATGCCTGTAGAGGGCTTCCTTTTGCTCCTCTAATCTCCTGGAGGCTCCTGGACTTGCTCTCTTTAGTTTAGTCTGTAACTCCTGTTGTCTTCAGTAGCGTGGTTGATAGTTAATTCATCCTGCCCGCTGACTGCAGCCACTGACGCTAGCAATGCTCACGATGGAAGGACTGAGGCAGACTAAGACTGTTGGATGCTGCGAGCGAGTGGTCTGAGCTTGCTCCCACACATTTTCATTCCTCAGTGCCCATTCCTGACCATCTGAACCTCCTGCCACTAGAAATATGCTCATTCAAGAGCCAATTAACAGCTCAGCCTTGCAGACAGGCAGCTGAGTAAGGGATGTCCTCCTCCAGACCAGGCACCAAGTTGAGTTCCCAGACGGGTAACTGAGAGCCATGACCGGTGGATGGACCTACATACCTTGGTGTGGCCAGAAGTTTGCAAAGCTTCATAAAATGGGGTTAGCCCCCCCTGCAATCTCTGCTGTTATTTTCCTCTGTTTGAGGGCAAGCTCTGACTCACCACACCACCAGCATCAGCATAAGATACATGTTTACAAATACAGAAAGAGGATGTTTGCCAAACTCCACAGCGTGTGTGCAGAAGAGGATGAGGCAGTAGCGAGGGATTGCACTAGAGACAGGAGGAAAATGCTACCTGGAGGGAGCTGCATCTTCATCATTGCCAGTAGTAGAGCAGAGACTGATTTTCAGAAGCTACCTGGGGAATTGAATAGTTTGGGCAGAGCAGCCCTGGGAAGGCAGTGGTATGGAAAGAGTCTTGAAGAGATTTAATGTGCAGTTGGGAGTATCAGCATCCCATTGCTGAGCACAATTGCTCTGTTACCTGTAACCAGTGTGCAGTAAGTATCATCTTTTGCTCTGTGCACAGCACTTACCATAGTGATGCTGAGCTCTGGTCTGGGTTTTTCACTACTGAGAAGTGAACACAGGTAACGGATCCTTACAGGAGCTGGTCATTTGTCCTTGATATCTGTAACAGCTTATTGCTTTATTTAGTGTGACATCAATTATTTATTACTATTAATGAAGGACACAGATGGCTGTCTGGTCAAAAAATATCTTCTACTCCACAGAGATGATCTATTTAGCTATCATTTACTCTGCAGAGAACCTTTGGATTCTTTCTGAAATTTAATAACACAAGCAAAGATACTACAGCAATCTAGAAGGTTTGTGCTTCAGGGCTGCTTGGGGAGGCTGAAATCCTTCTTTATATTTGCTGGCGGGCTGTGTGTGAACACAAGTCCAGATGGGAAAGAGAAGCCCCTTTGCTTTCCATCACTTATCCATATAATCCCTTTTATAAAGTGATCAAACTCTTCTCAGGAGTAGCCTGTTTATTCGTATCCAATTTACTTTCTCTTGCCATTACTGCCCATTAGCCTAAATATTTCTTTTCTGTCTGAGTGCCTGCCCTGTAGACATGTTAATAGAGTTATGTATCTCTACTTGGTCATTTTATATCTCTGCTTGTATAGTAAACTTGTCCTTTTTGTTGTTTCCTTGTAAAGCCTTCTCTCCTGCTTTCCGCATGCCTTGTTCTTAGCACAAATGAACAATATTACATACTGAGCTCTCACCTTGTGCAGTTAGCTTGGTATTCCTCTATTACATCCCAAAACCACTTTTCCTTAGTAGGGCAATGTTACCGGTCTGTCATCCTCTTGTAATGCCAGCAAAAGCACCCGTTGCCTTAGTGACATTCCAGTGACTGGGTTCCAGTCTAAATCTAGGGTATAACTTGTTTTCAGGCCCTAGAGAAGGCTTAGGAAATTTCAGCTGCTCTCAGAGCACCATGGACTGAACAACAGCCTCTGACTTCTCTTGTGCAAGATGCACAAATAAAGTTGCTGTGTGCTCTGCCTCACCCTGGGGAGAGCACAGCAAAGGAGCTCCCTGCGTTCACTGTGGATTGACAGCTCTGGGTAGTCGTTTTGTCCCTGGGGCATCCTTTACCCACTCCATCTTTGCTCTATGGTCTGCACAGTCTGGCACAACCAGCAACCTCACTGCTGCTTATACAGGTGCAGAAATACTCCCATCCTTGGCGCTGAGGTTTCAGCACCTTTGCTAGCATCTGTTTTGCTATTTTCATAACAACCTCTTTGCTTTTGCTTGACTGTAGCGGGTCCAATGAGGGGAAAGTTCCCCAGAGGCTCAGGGTTGAACACAAAGCACCCTCGTGCCATAAGGATTTTATTGCAAGGATTTTATTGCATGGGTTTCGGCTTAACCCAAGTTGACACTGTTGGTGAACACTGAGAGCTCCATTTCCTTGCATGCAGAGGAACAGCAATGCAACTTCACAATCTGCACAGGTCTGATCCATGGCAAACCAGACCACTGTGTGATGGAGCTGCCACTGTGTTTCAGGGCAGTGCTCACTGCAACCCTGTTCCCCTCAAAGCTACCCAGGCAGACCATGAAAGACGAGCACTCAGAAGTTAGTGAGTGCCTTACAGAGTTAGCTGTGCAATTGTAATACACTCGTAAATTCAGTGGTTGAACATGACATTTTCCACCCCATTTCCAGTCCTCTGCAAGTCCAGTTCCGCCCTCTGTACTCCCTGTCTCAAACCTGTGTTTTTCAATCTCTTCTGCTCCCTAGCACAGATGTCCTGACTGATGCTCCTGGTACCCGTGCACTGCCAGCCCAAATCTCCACTTGGTCTTGTCCAGTTGCTCATCATGGTCTCTCTGCCCATCTCTATTCTTTCCTACCCCTCATCAGCTGCATCTCAACCCTGAGTGCTCTGAAGGAAGGTGTGAGATCCCACAACAGGACCCCATGGGATGATGTTCCCCCTGTGAAGTTTCCTCCTGGTCAGAAGAGAGGTTGCTTGAGGTCTGAAGAGGCTTAAGAGCTCTTCCTCCAGTTCAGCAACACAACTTGGTCCTTTGTTATGTGTTTGTGATTCATCTGGTTTGTAAGTCATGGCAGTGTCTGTTCTCAATGACTTCTGGTGACAGGGAGTTCCCCAGTCCAGCCCAACATTGTATGAAAAGGGATGGAAATGAAAGTTGGAAATGAGCAATAAGGTTCTGTTTGTTTGTTTAAACCATAAACCCAGAGCTAAGGGGCTTGCTCAAGGCCATTCGGCACTCATGACTTCCAAGCAGTGATTTTACCATTGCCAAACCAACCTGCCTGTTGAGTTGACTTGGGGTTTGGTATGGACCATGGAGGGAACTGGGTTAAACTACAGAGACTGGTGACAGAACTGCCTGAAAAAAAGGTTTGGAAAGAACAAGTCATGCTGGGAGCATTAAAATGAATAATTAAGGCTTGGATTCCTTTAGGGAGGAAAAGAATTTATTGCTGCTCTTTTCTCTAGCCAAGGGGGACATTTGTTACTGAGTTGTGTATTTTGAGACAAGACTCCAACGTGGTTTGGAGAGGTTGGGGAGGAGGGGATTTCTTCTACCTGGGTAATCCAGCCACACAGTGAGACCTTCTGGGTTGGTTATAGCACTGGGTTATTTCTTAGGACCTATAGGTAGAACCTAGGCTTGTGCTTCATTTCAGTAGTCCTCAGTCGCTTTTGCTTTTAGGAAAATACAGTGCTGAGAAGGGAATTCTCCTCCTCCCTTTGCTGTGGTGTCTTGACATTTACACATGCACAAGGTACCTGGCACAGCAATCTGCATCCAGGTTTGCTTATACCAGCATAACTCTATCAGCTGCAACAGCCTTTCCTCTGATTCCCATCAGTGGGAATGGGGGCACAACCAGGGCAGCTGCTCTGGTTTTTTTCACTGCTTGAGACCTTGGGCTTTCAGTTACACTGATGTAAAATGGGAATTGAATGCAATGAGCTCTGACTGATAGACAACCTGCTCACTGCAAGGAGACAGGTTGCATGGCAGTGGATAATCATGCCCCAAAAGCTTAATAAATGGAGCGTTTTCAGTTTCAGCTGGGTCATGATCTAAGTGTTTAATAAGCTTTAAAAACCAGAAGACCAAGGAAAAAAAAAAAAAGGTTTTCATCAGTTTTAATTAGTATTTTTTTTTCTTCAAAAGCTTGTAAAGGAATGAGTGTTCTTGAGCACAGCTGAAGGAGCTCCAGTCAGAGCTCCAGGAGCTGGCAGGGTGCATAGGAAAGGGAATGCAAAGCTCCTGATTTTCATTGAATAAAAATAAAACACACAAAAAACCCCAGCACATTGAGAGAAATTCCATCCAAGCTCTAAAAATGTCTTCTTCCTGATAATCTAACACAGCAGAAATACTTTTCACTGTCACAGGTGATTATTGAAAAAGGCCATGTTCCCCTTAAGAACTGACTGCAGATGGAGTCTCTAATAGGAGAGCCCTATTTATCCAGGCTTCCAGCTCTTCTGGGGACCTGGAGCCCATTCTTGGGTGGTGGTCCCTCATGTGGTGCTTGCAGTGAGTCTACATGTTGCATGGGTGCTCTGTGAGTGCACCTTCCACTGTCCAAGCGATGACTTTGCAGGTTTCCGCAGTGGGTCCCTATCAGCTGATGGCCCCAGTGTTTTCTACTTGCTTTGCCCACAGGTCACATTCTCCATATAGATTTGGGGCTACTCCCACCAGCACAGCCAACTAGAGTGTGTTGATTGGCTGTCCTATGTAGAGGTTCCTACAGTGGTTTTTAAGTGGTCAGCAATAATCTTGCACCTGTATTGACGCTCATCTCTTTGCTCTCCAGGAGAATCCCTGAGCTTTGCAGATGATTTGCTTTCTGGCCTTGCAACATCCTGTGTGGCAGCGGGTAGGAGCCATGGAGATGTCCCTGAAACCAGCCTCTATTCAGTCATTTTCAAGTGCCTGGAACCAGATGGTCTGTACAAGTAAGGAGAGACACGTGGGGAGGAGGTGGGGGCAAGGAGGGGTCTCCAGTGCTATTATTGTTATTGACTTTTTTGGTCAATGCTGTGTTGCGCCAGATGATGAGACTGTTGCTTTGGGTTGTTGGGCTCAACTAATGGAATGGAAAACCAGTGTTTACAGCACTGGAGGCACTGGGAGTCTGAGGGAGACTCACTGGAATTACTCACATTTTCAGTATCCTTCCGTGCCTCATGGGTAGGGTTGTGTCTCCTGGATGAACTGAGCCAGTGTGGTCAGATGGAAGCAAGTTGTCAAATGCCTGGTGGATTGAAATAGCCAGATATCAGAAGTATGATACGTGATGTTTATGGAAGTTGCTGTTTATATTAGGAGACATACAGCAGATCAGAGAGACACCAAATCCATCTGCCCACCACCCAGTTACTTCTACAGGGATGGTGGCCACCCCAATACTGATGTTCTTGTGTCTTTGAGACTTATGAGATATTCTTTGAGCACATGTGATTGGCTTTTCTGTTTGAATCCTGTGAAGCAATTAGCGTCCAAAGCAAAGGGATGATTTCAGGATCTAAATGTTAACTTCTCCTTCAGTATTGTTTGGAGGGAGAAAGAAACAGAGAAAAAAAGACAAGAAGACAGAGGAGAGACAGAGTAAGCAAGAGAGAAACACCCAGGGCTTAATGTCAGAGTGACTGTAATAATTAAAATGCATTTTGTAGTGAGTAATGAAACTTTTTATGGGACCACAAAAGCATTTAAAACGAGAGCTGGCAAATGCTCTGTCAACGAGAACTTTTAAAGATCTTGATTAATACTTTCCCTTTGCCTCCCCCTCCACCACCTCCCCAGTTCAGTATGTTGACAGCCTCTGAAGAAGGAGAAGCTTTTATTGCACATCTCTTGAGCAGGGCTGTGTCCAGGAGCATCTCCAAGTGATACCTCTTGTCATTGAATGGTTTTCAATGTTTTCTTGTTAAATATATATAATGCATCAATATAATGGTTAGTATCTATGTGAACTGGGCTGCTCTGAAAAGGTGCCAGGGAGAGGCTGGAGCAACCACAGAGTTTGCTAACAACCCACCACCCATAAACTCAGCTGGTTGTGAGCTAGGAGCACTGAGTGAGGGCAGAGGCACTGGGTTTGATGGGGAGACTGCTGCCGAGGTGAAGGCACAGAGCTGGGAGCCAGAAGGTCTGTCTCTTGGGCAGCCTGGGCTGCCAAATCATCTTCCACATCTGCTAGGCAGGGATAATTGCACTCACCCGTCACTTTGGGGACTCTGTGATCTAATTCCTGATGTCTGCAAAAGGCTGGGAGAGCCTTGGGTGGAAGGCGGAAAGCTTTGTCCAGGGTTTTGTCATCCCTTTGGTCAAAGCCAGGCTTCTGCTTTGCAGTCATGAGGCACATTGCCATGGAGGGGGTAAGCAGAGTTGGTGTTGCCCCATGTCCTGCGGGTGGCTGTAGGCAGCTCCTGCTCTCTGTGGGTGTTCCTGGCTGAGGGACAGTAGCTTCCATGGGTAGCCGTGACTGCAGGCAGCAGTCCCCTGGCACCAAGGAGCTTTGGACCACATCCCTGTGTGTGGACAGGCCCTAGGGTGACGCAAAGTGCTGGCTTCATCCTGCAGCTAACGCTGAGCAGGGCTTGGCATGCCCTTCCCAGGGCTGCGCACGCTTAGGAGCACATGTATGGACACATGTGTATGAACACATGCCCATGTTGGCACTTGTGGGACATGGACCTACACTTCTGGGCATCAACATAAATGTATATGCACACACACACTGCAGCTGCATGCTCCAACACACCTGCATGGACTGATACACGTGTCTACAGGCATTGCCACGGATGCATGCAGATCCAGCACACACACACACATTTGCTCCAACCTGGGACCTAACCAGCACATGTTTACTTAGCATGTGTGCATTCTCAGATACATAGGCACACACATTAAATATTCCTCTGCTCAGATGTCCACACAGTTGCAACACAGCCTGAAGAAAGCCAGAACAGTGAAATGTGAGGCTAACACTCTGTTCCGGGCCCACGCAGACAGAACAACAACAGAAACACAGGCACGGGGTCATTTCTTAAATTGAATTTCTTCTGCTTGTTTCATTTGTTTCTGTGGAAAAACAGCTATCTTGGAAGGCTCTGGCCTGGGTATAATCCTGATTATAGCCAGTCAGCAGGGACCTGTGCTTTTCTCTAGGCTGTTGGGTGAGCACACGCAGGCTGCAGCATCAGAGCTCTTCAAAAGCAAATGCTTTTGCTTGTTTGGTAGTCTGAGGGTGTCATGTAAACCAAGAGAGGGGACTCTGAGATCATGGAAGTCTCTTCTGCTTTGTAAATGTGTTGGACATCCTGTCCCTTTTCTTTTGTACTACCTACGGCAATTATACCCTGTTGTTGACCATTTATTTGGAGTATTACCAGCCTGAGATCAAAGCTGGGCTTGAGTATGAAAAACAAAGCCAAGAAATGCTCTACAAGCAAATAAATAAACAGAGTGTGATTGATTCCTCTGCTTTTGAGACTTCTGAAATTTCAAAACATAAACTAACAAAAGGAGAACTAATTCCTTTGTCTTTTGCAATTTCAGTCTGAGGAAAATATATTGCCTGTCATCCCTTTTCTTGCCCTTGCCTGTGGTATGTTGGGGTTCAGTTGCTAGTCCCTGCACAGAGGGGTTTCAGAGGGAAAGTAGTTCACGTCAGCAAAGATGGGTACCATAGGTTCATGTACACATGTGGACACTGCTGATGGTGTGTCAGACACGGTGCCCATGCATGGGGATCCATGCTGCAGGCATGTATGCACTCGGGTAGTTGCACACAGGGACACAGAGGATGGTCCTTGAAGACTGTCGAGTTTGATTTAAGCTCTTAAAATCCAGAAGTCTTTAATTCTTGCAAAATGCATCACAGGAGAGGGGATTGTTCTCCCCTGAGGTCAGCTAAACCAGAGCAGCCTGTCAAGCTTCCTCCCAGGTGGATCTGGAAGAGGATGGGGTGAGGAGGGCAGAAGGAGAGATGTCTGCGTGTCTCTTAAGTGCTTGTCTTACATGAACAAGCCAGCATGGACAGCAGTTAATGCCAATCAGACTGATGGTTTGGGAACTTGGGAGCACCACGCTGTGACAGGCAACTTGTGATGCACCAAGCACCAAACACCAGGCAAGAGGAAGGGCTCTGGCTTGGCTCAGAGGTCTAAGGACTGAGCTTACATAGCTCAGCACCCTACAAACCCAACCAATCTCTTCACTGTAGGGACAGGAGCTTCTCTTGTGCATCCCACAGCCTTCCTGAGCCTTCAGCCCACATCATCCATCTCAGTTTCTCACCCCATCATTCCATGAGTGCCTGGGGATGTCTCTTCCCTGAGCCATACCTGCTCAGCTGCTAGAAAGCAGTTTCGCCAACCCAGCATGTTCCTTTCAGATACTTGGGGAGACAACAAGTATCCCTCAGCCAAAAAGGGAAATTTTGGGAAGGGAAATGAAAACCCCGTCCAGTTCCTCAATGGAGCTGCAGTGCAAACACACCAACTTCTTCCCCGCGCCACAGATACTATAATTATAGATTAGATTAAATCCTAATGTTTCACTTTATTTACATTCCTGACCTAGCCTATTCATTTCCAGTGTTTGTGCCAAGAATCAGCACAAAATTTACTGGAAATAATATGGAAGTCATCAGGATCCCTTCCAGAGCCTTTCCGTGGAGTGTGTTCATGTGCTGAGAAAGAGCTTCCACTTTGCATTCCCTTTGCTGGCTCAGATAGGGTTTCCCCAGGGGGATTCTGAACCAGTCCAATGACTATGCCTGGAAGAGTGTTTCAGGAGTGCTGGAAAGGTGGAAACCCCTTCCTTTGGGATGAAGGTCAGGCACTGCCATTGGATGGAAGGGGATAGAGTTAGACTTCAGAATGGCAACACAAGGCTCCAATCCACAACCAAGACCCACCAAAACCTGCCTGGCCAGTGTGACCCCCTGTAGAGCCTGGAGGCCACCTCCAGCATGGCCAGGCTTAGCCTCTGCCATCATGTGCTGCCTAACAGTGAATATACCTTTCTTTTTGGTGAGCTTAAGGAAGGAGGCAAAGGGGAACCCATCATAGCATGGAGAGACAACGACTGCAATTCAACAAGCTGAATGTACTAAAGGAGCTGGCCTAGAGCAAGGCTGATTAATGTTGACTGACCTCTGCCTTGTGCATAGCTGGGATAAAGAGTGGAATGGAAACCTTTGGTGCTCAAGACTGTGCTAATGCTGGCAGCAGTCCCCCTGCTCCTTATATGATACTAATTGTTATTGTTGGTCTTCTGTCAGGAAGACACATGAATGAGCACTGGAGCAATTGGAGACAGATCCCAAATAGCTCAGTGGCATGGGTTAAAACACATCTGTTACAGCCTTGGCTGAGTCCCCTGTGTGCACAGGAGCTGTGCTGCTTCATTGAATCCACCTCTTCTCTTCCACATGCTCTCCAGCTTCCTGAAGTCGAGTGGTGTATCATTCCTGGCTTGCGGAAGCTCAAACAAGGCAAGTCAGGAGTCAAACAAGTGTTTGCTAATCCCAGGGCTGTGCTGTAAATGCAAGCTCATCCTTCCTCAGCAGTTTAGGGTTTTTACAGAACCAGGCTGCCAAATGCTGGCGCAGATGTGTGGTTGTTTTGCTGAAGTCAGTCCAGCACCGAGCTGCCTGGGCCCATCTGGGCTATGTGCAGTTCTCTGCAGTGAGGGTGGGTTGGCCCCATGAAAGATGGTCTGTACAGGCAGGTCGGGGGCTCAGCAGAAGAAGGAGATAATCTCTTTCTGCTGATATTAATGAAGTCCCATACATGGACCTTAAGGAAGGTTGGGCTTCTATTGAAGTCCCCATCATTAGGAATGTATGCATCTAAAAGCCATAGAGAAAACATTTATGCTTTTTTTCATAGCCAGTCAAGGTGCTGGATGCTCTTCCCAACTTTACCATTTGCTCTACTGAGTG